ATGCACAAGGACGGGAAAAACAAACATTTCGCCAATGCAATATAACATTCCGGCTGATTTTTTATATGTTAGCTGAGTGACCACCCCAATGATTCAATGAAATGGGTTGTCGAGCAAACTAGAGAGAGAGGAGAGAGAGAGAGAGAGAGAGAGAGAGAGAGAGAGAGAGAGAGAAAGAACTCTTAATTGAAAAGCAGAGAATTTGGTCAGCATATATAAATCGCTGACGGCGTGGTGAAGGGTTTAGGACTGAAAGTACGAATAGGGAGAAAGAGACAAAAAAGACAACATGTTAAAATAGAAGATAGAATAAGAAATAAATAAAAGGCCACATCTTTGAACACTGAATAAGGACGCGCGTTAGTAGTTTTTTCGTGGTGTCAAGCGACAGTTAAGGTTTGTCTAGCTGACCTATGCTGTCCACGTACGTGAACGAAAGCTTCATAGCACGCCTCTGAAGTGTGGGGCAGGTTAAGAGTCCCAATACACAGTCAAGGGAGAAAGTTCTCTCGATTATCGAATGCATGCAATGTTCCTAGAGCACGCGCTAATCTTCGTATCTCTCTACACTCAAACAAGATAGGTTCCGTCGTTTTGATTGAGCCACAGTTCTTGCAGTACGGACTCGCTGACTTACAGAAGCGGCACCGTAAGCTGTTAACGCAGATGAGAGTAGTCTGCAGCGGCGCATTCTTTGACATTCGTCTCTTTGACCCATTGATGCCAGGTACAACTTCTTTTATAGTTAGAGGTGAAAGCGTTCAGGGAGGATATGTTGTAGGTATTTTTTTCTGTGGCTGACTAATAGGGGCAAATTGAAGCAATTGCACAGCTTGGCCGAATGCATAATTGCTGTGGGTTAGATGAAATGGGTACAAGAAATGTTTTTTACCTTGTAATATGAATATAAGATGAATATGCATGGTTTCTTGGGTAAATACTGCATCCAGCTGGAGACATCCTGATTTTGCTACAGTTCTCGATGCCGATAAGCTCTACAGGAGCTCTAGAACTATTTGTTGCCAGCTGTTGCGTGCGACTTCCATAGTTCTCTTATTTGAAAGGGATAATCAGTGAAGCACCAGTAGGAAATAGGGTAATGTACCTTCAATATGAGCTTCCTCAAGCAGTACCTTCTAGCGGCATCTATATCCTCATCCAGTTACAGCCATGAGTTTGAAGAGTTGAGTTGCTGCTACTATTTTAGTTTGAAGTTTCTTCACCTGTGGAGACCCGAAAAGGTCTCTGTCGTTGACGATTCCCCGAAATGTTTGAGGTCGTACATCAGTCGGCGGCCGTCCTCCGAGGAGGAGTGGATACTTGCTCATTTTCTTTCTCGGGAAAGCAATGGCTGTTTTCTTTTCTGGATAAAGGCGCGTGCCTCGGAGCACTACGTACGTGGAGAAGTTCTGTAAAGCTTTTCGAAGTCGATGTTTGGTGATGTAACGTGAACTTGAAGCGCTCCAGATAAAGATGTAATCGGCATAAATCGTAATGGGTACTCCTCGAGGCAGTGTCTTTGTCATGTGTATCATGATAAGGTTGAAAAAGAGCGGGCTAAGCACGGCACCCTGGGGTACACCCTTCTCTACTAATGGATCTGCGTTTCTCCGCAACATGCGCACACGCTAGCAGAGCGTAGAATAACAAAGCCCTGCGTGTACTTGGGGACAACTTTCTCTGCCAATAAAGGGGGAGCTAAGAGGGTGGAGCTACTGCACATGTATCCTCCATGAAGTAGTCTGGCTAGGCTCGCTTTTCCGATCTTGGCCGCGTTTGAATACCGCAGCATAGAACTTGCTACGTCTGTTTAAACTGCCATTTGTGACCGAAATTTAACACAAGCATCTTCGGCGAGTGGTCGGTATAGCTGGAAAGCGACGCTCGCTCACCTAAAGGCAAAGACGTCATTTTCACTGGATGCGCCTAAAACGTGCTGTGTTTTCAAACGTGAAAAACACGAAGTTACACTTCATAAGGAAAAACATATATTAATTTCTCCTTAGATCGTTCAGCGTCTCTCTACAAACAGTATTCTGTTGAAAATAAGGTAATGTTGTTTTTTATTATTTTCACGCTCAAGACGTAAAAGCATCTGTGGGATTATATTCATCAGTAGGGGCACACACCCACTTTGGTTCCGTAGCCTTCCCTTCATTGCTAGTGAAAGTTGTCCCCTAGTATGGTGTGGTATATTGGAGGGGGGGAAGGAAGGTAAGGTGGGGAAGAGGGAAGAACAGATATAGGAATAGAGTGAAATAGAAATAAAAATAGAGAAGAAATAGAAGGCGAGAGAATGACTACGCATAATGAGAGATAGATGAGGAATTAAACATGAATAGAGAAATAGAAACAGAGAAAAAGAAAAGAAAGACATGAAAAAAAAAAGATCTAAAGACGCAAAAAAGTATAATTTTTTTACTCTCTGTGAACGCTAACTTGGGAATGTGCATCCTGGACGTCATTTTATGCTCATACTCAAATGTTGATTGAGCCGTCAATAAACACTCAAGTATTGTTTCTTACAATGCATTCCCATGTGCAAGAAATTAAAATATGTTCGTGCATGTGCGGAGATATATATTTGAATTTCTGAAGCGCAGTACCCTAACTGCCCATTTGAAGACCAAAGTAGAATGTGCCACATACCTTGAACTCGTAACAGACAAGCATAAAAGTTGAAGTTAGATTTGGCTGTAGCATAGACTTATCCATTTATTTCCCAATACTGCACAGCATGACAAACCCAATCAGGAGTGAAAGACCAAACAAAACAAAATAAATTTAAAACCAAGTAAAGTAACCCAAAAATCACGATGACAAATTTGTAACTTGACAAGTCATCAAACACGAATTCACGACTAAGCATAAAATGCGTACGTAATAGATACAGGAGCAAAAAAAGAAAAAAAAGTCACTATAATGAACTTTTTTCCATTGTATCTTAAAAATTTGCCTCCTCAAAAATGTATTTATGAATGGCATTCCAGTAGAAAATTGTTTCTGCAAAAAAAAAGAAGCTGAGTTGAATGCACGAGCTTTAGATGATATTTGTTTCAGAGCTTGACCATTATTGTGTCAAGTTTTTCTGGTGTCTAAGGACTTTACATATGAAAGTATAGGCATGTCCAATTTAGCATTGATTATGGTACGCAAAAAAACTAAATGGGCATATTTGCGAGTAATTTCATCTTCTTGTAGAAGTTTTGTTCCGGAATCCTATTTTTTTTATTTGCCAGAAATCATTAAATGCCCTTTCTTTGCAACATGTCAGCTTTTTGTATATTTGGTTTAGTTTTCAGGTTTTAAATCACAGTAATTTGAACTTTACGTATTGATTGTATGCACGTAACTTTAGCTAAGGCGGAACTTTGTTTAGTGTTCTCTTGAAGAAACACAACCTCCAAAACGCTGACGCACGTATTTCCGAAACATGACCTGACCAGTATGGTCGGTGGTCTCTAAAAAATTTGCCAAGAGCATTTATTGATATTTCTTCTATCTACATATATACTGTGGTCGGCGATGTCAAATTTGTATAACATATGTAGCTTCATGTGGGCTAAGCTGCTTGCATTAATGCGCTAGACCGATACTACATTTTAGTATCAAGAAAGTAACGGGTAACAGTAATGTAACGACTCGTTCCGATTTTCGAAATGTAACTGTAACGCGTTACTTTTGCAATACAGGAACTTGTAACGGGAACACGTTCCTAATTGGGGAAAGAAGGAGGAACGAACTTACGCTACTGTTTTTTAGATGAACGTGTACGGCACTATTTTAATAAAGTTCCTCGTCTTGACCGCGTATACCAGGACACCGCAGAATGCAAGGCACTGATGAACTTGTGGACCTAGATTCCTAGAAGCACCTCGTTTTATGCAAGTCTCTGTGGCACAGAAAAAAATTGGAAGACCCCTTTTTTGCTTAAATATTTAGGTGCACCGTTTTCTGTATTATTATGAGACCAGACATAAAGAGACCGTGAATAAGAAAAGGCGTTTTATTGCTGCTGAATTTGCCACCACTACTTTCAGTCAGTCATAACAGGACCCAAATATTTATATATTATCAGTGTGTATTTGAATTTAGCACGGCGTAAACGAAGCCGATCAGGGTATTTCTGTAAATGCGTCAGAGAATCTTGAGAATAAACGAAAGCGCTATATTTCCTTGCAGGCTTCATAATTACTTTTTTGGTTGCGGCAAACAGCTTGTCTCCCCACATAACTTACGGCAGTAACTAAATAATTTAAAATAGGTTTTTAATTATTAAAGACATGCAGTCGGGTCAATTGGAGCTTTGTAGCCCTTCTATAGGGAAGCGCTCATTGCCGTTTCAAAGTTTCTCAAGAGTGAACGCTGTTCTTTCCAAAAAGTAGACGAGATTTTCAAAATGTTCGCGCTAATAAAAAGCAGTATAATCTAGGCAATTTCACCAGCGAAACTCAAACTGATACTGAAATGCTCGAGAGCTCTACTGCCATACTTTTCCCAGGGGCGTCCAGACTGCGCGAATACCATCCTATTCAACCATTCATCAACTTGGCTTCTTAGGTGGGCGGTGCGTTCTTGCTATTATAGCAAGCACATGGCAAGAACAGTGACATCCGTCAGGTTGCCTGCTATTTTTCCGCGTCTGCTCTTCGGTTTAGGTTTTACCGCCGTGTATTTCATGCAAATTGATTATTCCGCAATAATTACCAGAAGACCCTTTTCCAAAATCACAGATGGCCAATGGCCTTTTTACAGATAGCCAATGGGCTTTTTGCAGGAAGGACTTCAGTTCCCCCATTCGATCTAACTGCATCTCTTCAATAACTAAGAAGTTGATTATGTATTTTGTCATTTACTGTGCTTGTTGACTCCTAATTATCGTGGAATCTCTGCCGCTGCAGGAGAGGTGATTATAAAGGCAACGACCAAATATTTTATTTCCGTTTTTTTTTCAAATTTTCGGACACATTTTTTAGACATCCTGTACAGTATGCAGACTTTCAGGGAAGGCGTCGAATCTGTTCACTTGTCTGGGCGGGCCTTCGAGTAGCTATTTCAAGCTGCGTAGCTTCAGCCACTTTGCTGCCGAAAAAGTGCTCGTAAATATTTTCGATAGGAGCATCACACAGAAGAAAAAGCAGGTATGCGAAGTAGTAACTGATGCCGATGATTCCCAGTGTATTCGTGAGCTGAAAAAACAAACAAAACAATATGTATCAAAACGCCCAGCCATCTATCGTCAATTGAAGTAGGGCGACACGAGCACAAAGCAAACGCATTTTTAGGGGGGGGGGGGGATCACCAAGAGTCACGTAGAAAACAACTCGTGTTGGGGACATGAAGGCAGAAATATTGTCGTGAAGAATAGCCGTCTTATCTTCTGATTCGCTTTCGGACTGATTAGAGTCTGTCTTCTCAATCTGCTTCTGATTTACCAGCAAATCTATTGTGTACACGGCACAACGATCTAGTGACGATGATAAAATAGACGCAAACTTTTTCAATGGTCTGCTTTATCGTTTTAGCCATACAGCTGTATACAGCACGCACGGAATGACACATGTCATCAAAACAATCAGTATGAACAGCGTATATATGCGGGACTACTCGGGTACACTGCTGTGACACTGGCCACTAAAGCTGATCTTGGCTCTAATGCAGGCGAACGCTACGATCAAATATTACGCTAATATAATACAATCTTAAGACAGCCAAAACAATTGCCAGTTCTTGAAAATAGAAAGAACGTTGTCAACTTCACAACAGCGCTTACTACGCTTGATTATTATTTAGGGTTTAGCGACCCAAAACCACCACATGATCATGAGAAATGCCGTATTGTAGGGCTCCGGAAATTTCCACCACCTAGGGTTCTAACGTGCACCGAAATCTGAGCACGTGAGCCTACAGCATTTTCGCCTCCATCGAAACTGCAGCCGCCACAGCCGGTGTTCAATCCCGTCACTTGCAGGTCGGCAACCGAGTACCTTAGCGACTAGACCACCGCGACGGGGCGATCGCATACCTTTACAACTAGTCATGACAGGGAGCATTGTCGTTTCGTTCTGATTTTAGAACGAAATGCGAGCGATGTGAAAAAAAATACTGAACTAAAAAGTTTTCTTTTTTATTCTTTATTACATGTCATGCGAAAACTATCACAATTTTCTTATGTGGATAATAGCATATGTAATATATAGAAAAACAATCGTCATCTATCAACTAAACCAGAATCAGTTCAAGGAAAGACAAAAATAATAAAATTATGAAGGCTCGAAGTGACGAAAACATGTCAAGCGAGGAGTGTAGCAAGAGCGAGTGTTTTCGCAAGCGCACTCGCCTTCGATGCCATTACGAAGCCAAGCTTTTCTTTACATACGTTGGTTTCGAATTTTTATCACTTTCATCAGGTAATGACAGTAACGCTAGTGAACAGTCGTTAGTGGATTTCCTGGACTAAGACATTGTTGACATTGTGATAGCCAAGAGAACAGTTGAGAAAAGAAATTCTAGCGCATATACTCATTATAAGTAGCCAACCTCAAGAATCACCTCCATATATTGTCTTGCCTGCGTCAAATAAACTGACTGCTCTCTAGATCGCTTCAGCAGTCCCCTAAGTATAGTCGCATGCTCAGCAAGACGGAATTCCACCAAACTCGAAATAATATGCACCGAACAGTCTCAAAGGGGCCGTGCAAAACTTTTCAAGTAGCCATGAAAGGGATTCAGTAACAGAGCTGATTGCCTCATGAATTCATCACTGCAAAATTTTCGAAATTCGTCCAGTACGAGTGGAGTTAGTCTTTGGTTTCTCGCAGGCTTCTATCACATTTTCTTTTTTCTGGTCGTGATGGAAGCACTAGAAACTAATCAAAAAGACGTCACTAACAAAAAAAATATGACCTTGAGCACTTTATTTTTTTTTCTTCGAATACACAGATTTTTCAGTGCGACGGACAAGTGGCGGCCTTCCGCCGATATCCGTGCAACAACCGAGCTTGCCAGGTTCACCTCAGCCAATGGCTAATAGAACGGCTGTGACGAGCAATTTTCGAGCTTCTTCCGTCATTTGTCGAGATAAGAGAAAGCAATTTTCAATGGATTTTAAGAAATAATTGTGAATTCCAGGCAGCGTGCTGCGCTATAATATTGGGCTCACGTGTTCTCAAAAGCCCCTTTTACTGATAGGCAGCCTTTTCTGGCCATGGTAAAGAAGTGTGGCAGGGCACCTTTAAGGCTAAGTAAAAAAAAGCAAAAAAGCACGTGAGGCAAAATGAAAACGAAGCAAAATGTAAAATATGAAAATAGAAAATCAGTTCCGTGTTACAACCCTCCCATTAGCATTGGCTGCAGTTTATTGCGATTCATTTTACTCAGGTTATTTTATTTCAAGTCAAATCAAGCAGATGTAGCTTTTTTATTTGTTAGTGTTCACTGATGTAGTATGACTGCTTCATAGATGTGAAGTTCATTTCGAAGCTTTAATGGGCCCTGCAACATTTTTTCAGCATGTTCAGAAAACACTGCCGATCGGTAGTCCATGTCCCTGAGAACACATGAGCCAGACATTATAGCGCGGCACGTGGCCTGTAATAAATAATTAATTTATATATAATACACATATAATTCATGGGCTTATGGCATCGACAAACGATGCCATAAACCCAAAATACCGTGACATAAACCGAAAGTACACGGCCATTTGATGATTCGAGCATCATGAATTGCATAGTTACCACGGACTCCTTTTGATGCCACCCCATGCCCGCACACGCTAAAGCCCGTGAACGAAATAAATGTAATGGCATCTATTGTTATTTTCACCTGTCCTCCTCTCCTGCGCTTTTCCTCAACGATCGGTGCACACATTGGCCGAACGCCGTCACGTGTCGCTCACGCATGTTTTCTTTTGCTTGTTTTTTTTTGTTTCTGTAGGGCTCGACCTCTATAGCGGTGCATAACGGGGTGACGAGCACGCGTGTGCTGCGTGTTTCGGGCCTCGTTTTAGCACTTTTGCGGCGTTGTTTCAGTTGTTTTGTGTTTTCGGCTTCCTTTCATGCTCTTTCGGCTGCAGCATACGTTAAACTGACGGCAAGCACCTTTTCGGATTACATCTGAGAAGTGAGACGCACCACGGAGGATTATCTGTGTTCACGGAATCTGCTGAGATGACTACAGATCATGTCGGTTCCGTGAGGTACGCCAGTATATCTTCGCACTTCGCTAGCATTGTTAGGTTTCGTCCTTCTAAGAGCGACACATTCGTTTTCTGTTTATTTGTAGCGTTCGTCCGCGGCAATTCCTTCAAGTAGTTTCCAAACGTGTCTTCTTTCTGTCAACCACGGTGTAAGATACATGGGTTTAGTTAATGACACTTCTCAGGTTCCGTGCAAGGCGCGTTTTATGGCAATGCTGGTGTGCACCGCATGTCCACTTTTCGTGAGTGGAAAACGCGGCGTGCGTTTTCAACTTGAGGTGCTGATGCGCAACTGCTGCTTTCTTTGGCTAACAAATTGAGATTTTCTTCACTGCACCAGTTTCTTCGCGAAAGCATTTTTCCCTTCACCTCATATCACCTCTACATACGCGCAGCCGTCAGCATTCGCAAAAAGACCACCACCGGCACCCGGTAGTTTCTCGCAGCCAATAACAAAGCCACTCAAGTACAACATTGCGATGTCCTCTCACCCCGCGTTGTAGCTTGCTGTAGAGGCTCGGGCTGCCAATGTCATAGCGGCGAGAGGCATGCATGCCCGTGTAGACGGGGCGTGGGACCACGTGGTGGTCCAGGGGCCTGAGTGGGTCCGAACACACTTGTCAATAAACTTTTTCTTTCTGTCCTCTGTCGATGTTCTCTCGTTGTGTTTCGAATGTCCATAGCAACACCAAATGAAAAATATCTCGGCGAAATGCCAGCTGACAAGACTGAGTGATTTACGGCCACAGTTATTGATGCGGAGAGCGTCAGCGAGCATACAGTTTCTCAAAAAATACCTAGAGGAAAGTGCGGCGCCACTGTCTACGCGAATTTCTTAAGGGGCGCTGGGAATGATGGTATATGTGTCTGCAAGGCTTGTGTTATTGGGTGTTGAGCGAGGCTTTGGCTCAAAAGCGAATACCGATGCGTAAATAAAGCTTCTCCAAAACAAAACGTTTTTGCGGATCTCATTCACGCATAATATATTCCGCAATAAAAATACGCTTACCTTGACTGCACAACTACACGGCGAAAGAAACACCACACGACATAAAAGTGATTGAGGGAACGTTGGCTTTCTCGTCTGCCTGCCGAGTTTAGCGGCCGTTGGTTTGGCGTGCCAGAGTCTTTTTCTGCATTATTTTCTTTCTAGCATTTTCATATATATAGATACGTATACAATATACGGTTAGAGACTGCAACGCTGACGGCAAAATCCAGCCGGGAGTGCCCATATATTTGCTATTGCAATAAAAAACACGCTTCTATGTAATGAAAAAAATAGATTATTACAAGCACTTATAGTAAAAAATCCACCATTTTAACGTGAAGCGAGACGGGTATAGGTACACAAATCCAAGTCAATTTTGAAGCTCACATTTCCCGTCATTCTCTTGCATCCAGCAGCTCACTACACCAGATTTTCCGTTAGGTAATTTTGTGACAAACTCTATCTCTGCTAGCTAGGCACCGCGTAGATGGAGCCATAGTCGAAAGAAGAGAGAGTGAAAGCCGGCGCAAGAGCAAGAGAGAGGAGTGGGCGCTACGTTTTTTTTATTATTATTATTCGTGGGTTTAGCTCACGGCATCAGACTGAAAGTCTGCCCCTCGTTTGATGAAAAAAAAAAGTCACAGCTTTGCCGCAAACGTGAAATAATTAGCACGATAGCGATAAATTAAAAGGTCACACGCAGAATGGCCAGTAGATAGAAATGTACCCCGCGTTTTTCACGCACAAATGACGCTTAAAATGTGCTCTCAGGTACAGATGAATGCGACTAAGCGTCTCAATCGTTACTCCGCTGTGTCTGAAAACAACGCTCTTTTTGCAAACGTAAACTGTGCAACAATTACAGTGGCCTTTGTGCGCCCGGCAACTAAAACACAATAGTTCCGGTAAAAGCCGAACGCCAGCCAAGATGTACGATCCTTCCTACCGCGAAATAAGGGCGCGTGAGTGAGCGTCAACCACCTGCTCGTTGCGAGTCAAAGTGCGCGTGGGAGAGCGCGGCTGCCGCGTCGTGACGATGTTGCTACGCGCACTCATTGTTCCATCTTGCTGGCAATGCTGAAAACACGATAGCTCCCCCAGAGATGCCCGTCAGCAGCGGTAAGTGGTACTTATAGATAGCTTGCCATTTGAATGTTAAAGCACGTGCTTTTAAGTGGCTCTGAGGTTAGCCCCTCACCCTCACGATTTAGTGGACCCAATTTCGATTACGCATGCTGGAGTCTTTTTCTGGATTTTCTTTCTTTCTTGTATTTTCATATATGTATATATATGTATATATATATATATATATATATATATATATATATATATATATATATATATATATATATATATTTATATATATATATATATATATATATATATATATATATATATATATATATATATATATATATATATATATATATAAACAGTGAGTGACGATGATTCCCACGTCGACGCCAACGCCGCCGGCAAAATCTAGCTGAGAGTGTCTATTTAATTCCTCTCGTAATAAAAGAAGAGAAAGGGACACGCTCACGGTCGTCATGAGACACGCTGACGAAGGGTGGCATCTCCTTGTCCCCTTGTCATCCCCCCCTACGTAGCTTTCAGCTCGCTCGATAGTGCGAGGGGGGAAAGCGCTTGAGGCTTGTGGGAAGCACTCCACTCGTACTTGCTAAAGCCTTTATTTTGATAGCGATTATATGGACACTCTGGGCTGTATTTCGCCGCCGGTGTCGGCGTCGCCGTCATTCACCATATATTCATACGTATCTATACATATGAAAACGCAAGAAAAATAGTCCAGAAAAAGACTCCGGTGCGTGCAATCAAACGTGTGACCTCTCAAATGCGAGCGCGTGGCGTTAGCCACTAGGCCACGAAGGACCACCTGCTTCAACGGTTCAACGGTAAGATATTTATATCTACCACTTACCGCTGGTGATGGGCATCTCGGGGGGCGGGGGCGGGGTGAACTATCGTGTTTTCAGCTTCACCGGCGAAACAGCACAATGAGCGCGCGTCGACAGATCTTCACGACGAGGCGGTGCACGCTCTCCCACGCGTACTTCGCCCCGCAGAGAGGGGCCAGAGTGGACGATGGCGGGTGGACTCACTTATCTTGTGGTGGAGACAATCGTACATCTCGGGATTTTATGAACGATTCTGCTGATGCACAAAGGTAACTGCACTCGTTGGACAATCTCCGTTTGCAAAAAGGTCCGACGCTTATTCACCTGTACCTGTGAGTACGTTTTGTACGTCATTTGTGCGTGAGAAACGCGGGGCACGTTTCAATCTCTTGTTGCTATCGCGTTCATTGCTTCGCCTTTCCGGCAAAGCTGTGACTTTTTTGCGACACTCAATTCGCGAGGCAATGAGCTCTTTTAATGAAGTCATTCGACGATTACTTGAAGTGTTGAGAGGGTCCCTTCAAGAAATCAGCACCGTGTCGGAGTGAGCAGTGAGACTAAAAAATGATTAAATAAGCCATTCTCGAATTTCAAGCTAATCTTCCAGGTTTCTGATTAAATTGGTTGAGCCGTTTGTTCTGCCTAACAGATTTATGCCTCACCTGAAAAAAGTCGTCCAAGTTGAAGCGTGTCTTTACCAACGCCATTCGTAGAAGAAGGAATACTCCTTGGAGAAGGTACACGCCATACGTGAGCCTTGCAAGAGGAACGAACCCTTTCCATGATGACATCCGTGCTATCACGCCTGCGAGATTCATTCGTTTCGTCTGTGATCCTCCAATATACACAAACTTGACCGAGTGACTAATAGGTTATTCTGGAGTTTGATAGGCCGAAACCATGATTCAATAAATGTAGCACGATTTAGTGTGGCAGTGTAAATCAATTGAGCCTCTGGTTACCTAAGGTGTACTTAAATCTAGGTGCATGAGTTTAAAAATTTAAATACAGGCGTTTTCACAATTTGCCCCAACTGAAATCTGGGTGTCGTGTCTTGGAGTCGAATGCTCGACCTCCGTAGCGCAGCCCTATAGTCATTGTGCTATATCATTAGAGTAATAATGGCGTGTTATCAAGTAACCTAATGCCAGTAGAATCGAAATATGAGTAATATAGCAAATACGGCTAGTTGGAACATTCTGATGACGGTCAGCGCAAAAAAAAAAAAGGACACGAAATGCAAGAAAGTTCAGGACACAAGCGCTGTCTAACAACTGAAAGTTTAGTGAAGAGTGTATCTTCAGTGGGCTGATAAGATTTTGTTACTGCACTCTTTTCTGTTTATATAGTATACCACCCTTCTTCATTAAACTTTCAGTTGTTTTATACTGCACTTGTGTCGTGCACCTTCTTGCGATTCGTGTCCCCCTTCCTTTTTTGCAATGACCATCCTTAGCGAGAAATGCGCATTTCCCCCAGTTTTGAGATGCACACAAGAAAATCAGCGTTAAATGAAATGGCAGCTTGAGCTGCACCCCTCACAATGTACTTCATCTCACACGACACAGCAGGGGCGTGAATGAGCCTCATTAACCATGTTGTAGCAACAGCTGTTCAACTGTTGCTTGTGCACAAACATTGATCATCAGATTCCGCACACACACAACTATGTAAAAGGTGGCCGTGATGTCGTCTCATTTGTTCGAGGTTATTTTTTTTCATTTTTTTCTATTGCCACTGTTTAAGCACGTATATAGTGAGTCTAGATATGATACTGCGTGCTAAGATCTTCCGAATGAGAAAGTGTCATGGCGTTCTTAGTCGCGGTGCGGTGCCACCCACGACCAAGCGGGTCTTTTGCAAGCCGTGTATTTAATGAAATAAGTGTGGTAATACTGATCGCAATGTTCTTAGCTTGAAAGAAAAAAAAAGCCTGTTGTGAATTTAGAGCCGTATAAAGGCTAAGAAAGAAAAAAGTCAAGGCAGGTCATTGTATCAAAATATATGCTTCTGGCATAGGGTTTCTTTTCCTAGCGTAGCACAAGAAATTCTTCCGTATTATGACGTAACTTCACCCCCACATCAGTTAATGAGGACACACCTACGTAACTACAAAAACCCAGATATACAAACCTCCGTAGCCCGTAGCACAGGCGTAAGATGGCCAACAAAGTGAGAGTGACCATAGGAGGCGGTGGTAACCTCCATATATAGCGTTGGTGATAGGGCCCGGCAGGTTTCCTCTGTTCCAAGGCAGGGTAACAAATAAAACGAAGCCCGCTGCTGCCACTGACAGAAGCCAGAGCAGTGCTTGCACAACCTGCACAAAGAGATATGAGCCTGAGAAAGCAAAAACATGTACTCTTAACTACAAGCAGACGTGTTATTGATACAGATAGGAGGTTTGATTTTGTGTCGAGAGAACATAAACCCCATTTCATTGTTTTGCTGCAGCCAGATGTGGCCATAAACAAAATTCCGCTAGAATTTCTCTCATGCCTGTGGGATAACAACAATTTAATATCCTTGAGAAGAGATTTGCTGGAATAGTAAATGCGGCTTTTTTATTTATTTTAGTGACTCTATGCAAAAACAGAGACATGTAAGCTAGAGAAAAATTGTTTTTATGTTAGTAAATATTTAGAACAGAGCAATCCAATATATATATATATATATATATATATATATATATATATATATATATATATATCGCTTGCCGTGTTGCCATGCAATACATGAAGAAACAAGCAGAATTAAAGTCATGAATGACCACAAAACCTCTGCGTACTTACAAGAGATATGGTTACTTCCTGGTATCGGATAGCCATGTACCCTGCCAGGATTCCGCTAACGTAGGTCGCCACATGGGTGAATGGCCTAAAATAAATAACCTCTAAAGTTTTGAATATGCGTCTGAAAGAAAAAAAACGGCCTCTGAAGTTTTTAGTCACACGCGAATTAAATTGAAGGTCAAATAAAGCTGGAATTCATAAATCAGTGACTAAAAATCTGAACGCAAGTATACCGTCCATCATTAGTGCCAGTCGTCACGCCGTACAACAGATCCATGAAGAATGTTCGGAAGGCCGTATAAGTGCTGCAAGCAAGTCCAGTCACCAAAAGCACCATGACAATCGTTTTGGGAAATCTGGAAGCATGAATACCCGAGTTATCCATTGCTGCAACAACACAAAACATAACAAACTAAGCAGTATTGCGCACAAACCCGATAAAGTTAATGTATTTTCGAACGATAGGTATATATATATGTACAGTCAACGACAAAAGTTTTCGGACCACGCGGACGCGTGCCAAACTGCCTGTTCGCAACACCTAGCGGTGCGCCATCTTCAGTCAACAGCAGTGCGAGGCCAGAAACGGGTCTTCTTGTTATTCACTGGCCTTTCAATTTTTTTACTGCTGCGTATACAGCGCATTGTAAGTTCGCCGTTTTCACGCGAAGCGCTCATCTGCAATACGACCGTCACATTTCTATTTTCATAGCAGGATCAAAACTATCACGGCGTGAAATAAAGTTGTTTCTCTCTTTCTCTCTAACACGGCGTGGCTCAAATGGTGGTGCGTTCGCTAGGTATCACTTTGTTATGAAGCTTGCGACTAATAACAGTTATGCTCATAGACATCCTCTCCAGGGTGAAGCACGTAGATGCAGATGCACCGTATAAGAATATCATGTGCAGATGCCAAGAAGCATGTCGAGTTAAAAAGTGAAAGGCAAAAGTAATTTGTACCCAGACAGAAAAGGGACATGCCATATATTAAGGGAGAAATGCTTCCCGCGCGCTGCGGTGCTGTCGATCGCCGCTGACGTATACAGCGGAAACGTCACGAAGATGCTTTTGTCGACGTGCTCACGTGCTGCGTAAGCTTTTGCGGTCGACTGTACGCTCTGAAGCATAACTCACTTTTTTTCTTGCGTTTGTAATGCAGCTGTCCAAATAATTATGATAGAGGCGGTAGACTTTAAGTGAGGGGACAGAGAGACACTCTATTGACCGAGTGCTTAGCTTGGACATATTACAATGACATCTTTAGTTTTGTCTACAGACGCGGTTACTTATGCCGTGGTCACCTTTCATTGCAATAACATTAGAGCTCGTGTCACAGAAAGACTAGTGTCAGCACAAGCTTCGGCATTGCCGGCGTTGTCCTCCGGTGAAAAATACCGAACCTATGTGATTTATAATATCGACAGTTTATGAGGTAATAAGTGCTAAAGAGTGCCCCGTAGCCAAAATGTTATTACAGATCATGTCGTAGTCGGGTACGCGAGATTATTTTTGACCACGTGGGGTGTGCTAAAATTAAAACTACACGAGCTTTCTTGAGTTTAGTTTCATCTAAATGCAGCCGTCGTGGCCTGGAATCCCACCAGCCTCCTCGAAGTTAGCTCGCGACCCCTCACCTGCTAATTTAGCATGGTAAGCAACAATCAATTTTCACTTTTAGCTATCGAATTGCCGTCCCGAGGCCTGGAATCTTCTGTCTTGCATTTTCTTGCACGTTTACCAGGAAGTAGATTAGAATTAGAAAGCTTAAAGCAAGACCACTTACCACCGTATTCAGGAACACTCCTCGACTTAACTTTGAATTGCCGCCACCTCAAGGCAGTGCGCTTCGAGCTCGCTTTTTCTGCCTTGACACCACCTAAAGACAGCGCGTTTGAAACGCGTTTGTGCTTCATTGAAGTTCGTGGCTAGTGATTCCACATTGAAGGTCGAGACAAGTGAAGTTTAAGCCAAGAAGCGTTTCTTAATACGGGGTTTAGCGGATTTTGGTTGTTTTGTTTTTACCTTGCTATTAAAAATGTAACACTTTGTGCCTCTTTGAAATGTGAAAAAACATCGTTTTGCAAACAAAACTCACTTTTGCCGCAAAGGCGAGCTACTGAATGTGACAGCAAGGCATTGGCATGTTATGGGAGGTGAGTCTGGCAGCTAACTCTTCTAGAATCCGATCTCGTGTGACACTACAAAACGCTGGTGCAAGAGTATTCGGCTGATTCAAAGAGCCCTTTCCCTGATGTCTGCCACTGCAACGCGAAGTAAGGATGGCATTGCAGCCTTGTTCTCATTCCTGTGAGACAGCGCACCCGACCGCGCCCTTTTGGTCAATGTTCGCAGTCATAGCCGATGTGACGAAGCCAGGAGTGTAGCCAAAGGGGGGGGGGGGGGAGTTGGTGGCTTCGGATTTCTTCAAACTGTTCAATTGTGCTTGTCTGTATATGCACGCGCACATGAAAACGCCCACACGAACATATATAAAGTATGTTTAACCTACCCCCCCCCCCCCCCAAAAAAAAAAAAAAGTTCTGGCTACACCTCCGCACGAATCCACACCAAGTTAGACACAACTGGTATCGAAGGCTCTATAAAAGCGCATACATTCAGAAAATGGCGGCTGATCAGCTGCTCATATATAGGGCTTAGCGCCATCTTTGTGAGGAGGGGACACCTCCAGCAAAACAAAAATAAAATAGATCTGACGCAATAGGTGGTAAACAAGTAATGTCATTTCGTGCGCACTGGCGCGAAGTTTGATCTCAAATTACTTTTCATAGGCTCCTAATCCCTAAGGATTCACGCTAAGGCGATCACCAGAAAGTCCTCCACGAGTGCGCTTCAAGTGAACGCCAGCTAATCTAATACCGACTCATGACTAGATAATGATGATTATTTGTACTACCATTCACTTTGCCTCGGTTTTTACAAGGGAACTTATTCATCGAACTTTTATTATTAGCAACCAACAGCATATACCAGTCACATCTGCAGCGTTACTTATTTGCATCACACATAAGCAGATTCTTTATCATGCATAATGCTCGTGTTCTGCAGTTTTAACAGGAAGAAATGACGCCGAGTCTCGTGAAAATCATGATATTTCTGTTTTATTCAATGGTCACAATAACTATCCCCTCCTGTCGTTTGCGCTGTTAAGCACTTTCTTCGTCTACCATGCAGCACCAACCAGCCCAATCAAGCAATCTGTTAAACTCAAATCTGTTACACTGCACACAATAGAAAAAAATCACAGCATATCCACGGAGTGAATGATGATTGGTGGAGCGAAGCGTTCGTCAGTCTGTCCGTGCTTTCGTCCGCCCATTCATTCTTGCTTCCATCCGTCCATGCGTCCGTCTGTGTGTCAGTCCGTGTGTCCATCCATCCGTGTGACCATCGATGCATCCGTCCTTCCGCGCGTCCCCCCATGCGTCCGTCCATACGTCCATTCTTCCGTATGTCCGTCCGTTCATCCGTCTGTGCATTTGTTCGTGCGGCCTTCCCTTTGTCTGTCTGTGCACCGCCCGATCGTCCGTGCGTCCGCCCCACTGTCTGTGTGTGCATCCGTCACTCCATCCGTCTATCTGTATGTGCATCCGTCCATCCGTCTATCTAGTGAACACTCCAAGTACAGCCATCTCACATCGTTTTATCATGTACTCCTCATATACAAGTGCCGCCATCCAGCGGACATTCTGAGAACCGCTTTTTCAGGTATGTGTCACCGGTGGCTACAAACATCATCGGAGGATGGAAAGACCCACGCCCTAAGGAGCTTCGCCCCTAATAAGCACAAAATTGTCTGAAGACACTGGTTGTGTTATGTTTTTAAAATATGCTTCGATAAATTACCAGTACCTAAGCAAATGCATACACGTGAATTGTAGCGTGTTAGATAACTTGATGATCTGCTCACCAATAACGTGAATAACAGTAGGCACTGCATGCTCAAAAAAGAAACCAGGCTGCAAGAATACTGACGGATCAATGTCCGGCGAGCTTGTATGCCGCTCCATTGCCTTTGTTTCTTATCAAGAAGTCATGGATAATCAAGCATACGCTTGTTGCTGGTGCATCCTTGCACAACACATCGTTTGTGCAGGTACCGACGAAAGCACACGGCATTAATTGTAATCCGCATCATTTCACTGCCCGTTTGACACTTCACTCAAGGCGTCCTCCAGCCATAAAACGCACCTCCCAATTTCGCTCACACAAGAGCATGCAAGCAAGTGCGGATCACTAAAACACATGCGCAGGTGTGTAATTGTAGAAAAATTTTACAAGCGTGCCTTTCTATGCAGTGCAAGGGCTGCATGGAGTAATATTACCATGGCCAGAGGGTGCTAAAAAGAATTTTCATAATCATAAAATACTGTCATAATTGTTTTTGCTTATTATACACCTACGTCATGTTGTTGGGGGAAACAAATTTCATTTCTAAAACCTGGTGATTGCTTCGACTTTGATTTAAACTTGGTTTTTCTCTATTAATGTTTGTTCCCTTCAAACATAGTCGCGCTTCAATCTCAGCTCTCATATCTCCCCACGTTGATGTCGCTGGCAATGGCTTCTGAACCGCTTTTTGCCCGAACTTTCGCGACCTATTTGAATAGAGCTTGGTTACACCAACAGTACAGCTTCATGTTCCTACCCCTCAGGAATTAAGGGCGGGCAGGGTGCTACTCCCTGCTTCAGTATTGAGCGCGAGGACATACCGTGGCGCCACCATGCGGAGGCGTCTCTGTGACGTACGTGGTTGAATTACTCTGCCGCCCTCTCACGCACGGCCCGCAGCCGCTCTCCCGTCTCCTCTTTTTATTATTATTTACTTGTTGTGCTTCACTCGGCAAAATCAGCAAAATATTGCTTCAGCATCTTCCTCAACTGTACGAAGTGTAAATAAGTGCCATAGAAAAGCTTTACGCTTCTCCTAATGCCTGACTTCCCTCGTCGTCGGCTATAGCCACCTGAATAAAAACCACGGGGGCCAAGCGCGTCGCTCCTGTAAAAGGTGGCAACTCATTACGTGTCGAATTGAAGTATCAAATGAGTATTAACGGTACAAAAAGTTAACTTTACTGCAGGAAATGCACGCAACTCCACTACTTCATTCATTGTAGGTTTGCGTCTAAAGAGGGTTTGTGGTTGACATGACAAGCATGCGCAAATCACATTTTTGTTTAGCCCACATAGCCCTACGAAGCACAGCGCAAGCAGATACCGCGCTTTATGGGAAGCAGCACAGTATTCTTGAAGCAGCAACCTTTCTGTTATTATTGCGGGCAAATGTGAGTATCACGCACGTGCGTTCTTCATTCAGAGTTGTAACTTTTCTCTGCGGCTCAATTCAAATATTTTTTGCGTAAAATTTTTATGGTGATCACATTTTGCGCATTCAATCGTCATCAATCTACACACGGGTGAAAATTATGAATGATTAGCTCGGTTCCAGAGCTTAAATAAAAGGGTAAATTATGATGAAAAACGCCATCAGCCTGCCGTATCATTTTGCGCCCTTAAATGTGCATGCTACGAGGGCGTACCATTATCTAAACGGTGGTGCCACGTTTCAGTAAAATTGCCAATGTCCTGTTACTTTTTTACAGCTTCATTCATAAGCTGTGTAATATTTTACGACAGCTCTTAGAAGATGAGTGATTGATTGATTGATTGATTGATTTTTGGGGTTTAACGTCCCAAAACTGCCATATGATTATGAGAGACGCCGTAGTGGAGGGCTCCGGAAATTTCAACCACCTGAGGATTCATAGAAGATGAATCAGTTCTTGAAGCTGCACGACCACGTTTTCGCCTATACATCAAAACAATTGATGAGAACTGACAGTGGCTATGGGCCGATTCTGCACACGTAAGCAAGGAAAGTAAGACCGCTACGGTGGTCTAGTGGCTAAGGTACTCGGCTGCTGACCCACAGGTCGCGGGATCAAATCCCAGCTGCGGCGGCTGCATTTTCGATGGAGGCGACAATACTGTGGGCCTGGGTGCTCAGATTTGGGTGCACGTTAAAGAACCCCCGGTGGTCAAAATTTTTGGAGCCCTCCACTACGGCCTCTCTCATCACCATATGGTGGTTTCTTCATCTCCATCTCGTATCTTTTCATTATAAATTCATCATATGCAAGTATCACTATCTAGTGGACATTCCAGGACTAAATGAGAGGTGGCTACCTACTACATATATTGAAGACGCACAAACCACAGTCCCCCCCCCCCAAAAAAAAATTACTTCGCCCCGCCGCGGTGGTCTAGTGGCTAAGGTACTCGGCTGCTGACCAGCGGGTCGCGGGTTCGGATCCCGGCAGTGGTGGCTGCATTTCCGATGGAGCCTGAAATTTTGTAGGCCTGTGTGCTCAGATTTGGGTGCTCGTTAAAGAAACAAGAACCCAGGTGGTCGAAATTTCCGGAGCCCTCCACTACGGCGTCTCTCATAATCATATGGTGGTTTTGGGACGTTAAACCCCACATATCAATCAATCAATCAAAAAAATTTCTTCACCCCTAAACAATGTCTGGCTACGCACCTGGTTCCGGCAGTTCGCGGTAACGAACGGAGCGTGCCTTATCTTAAGTGTGAAATAGCATTCTTCATTGGAAAGTGGCGAGCGCCGGCTTTTCAAGAAAGAAAACGTGAGCAAGTCAGATGACGATTAATGTTACATGGCAGAACTACTCTGCAAATACTCTTTTTTTTTTAGTACATACAGTCTTACATCGGCAAGCTTTAAGATTCTCATTTGAGCAGAGCAAGCACGCCGTCATGGGGCACAATTTCAATACAGTCTCCTCAATGCTCATCCCGAATGTTCGTGTCCTCGAAGAAATGTTGGAGCCCTTTCATCAAATTGCTGTAACTTTTCGGACCTTTACTCGCATGTATACATACGACGCATGAGGCGATGTTATCGATTCTTATTTTATGCAGAACATGACGGCCGCGGCAATGGCAGAAATTCACCGAAAAAGTCTATACAATGTATATCACAATGAAGTTACAGGTAACCGAAATTAACAAGAAATTATACTCTAAAACGCAGTTCATAACGCAGAAGATACATTGATGTAGCTTCGCTATGTCTTCAGTGTCAGCGTTAGACAGTATAGCAAACATACCTACGGTATACCAATATATGTCAAGCCACCAGTTCTGCAAAATGGAATAAAAGAGAGCGTAAAAAACTATGAACCCTGTTGATGCATTTAAGAATATGTGGGTTTTAACGTCCCAAAACCACCGTATGATTATGAAAGACGCCGTAGTGGAGGGCTCCAAAAATGTCGACCACGTGGATTTTTTTAACGTGCATCCAAATCTGAGCATGTGGGCCAACAGCGTTTTCGCCTGCATCTAAGATGCCACCGCCACCAGAATTTGATCTCGTGACCTGCGGGTCAACAACTGAGTATCTTCGCCACTAGACCACCATGGCAGGGTCTGTTGATGCATTTAGCTTTTGTGTACAAACAATTATTTTCTGTTGACAAAGAACAGTAGCACCAATGAACGCATTGACGCCTTCCAGATCACAAAATTCAATAGTACTAATACTGTATTAATTCTGGGGCTGCAGTGTATTTTCGAACAACTTAAAACATAAATATTGCTTATCAAAGAAATTGCTTACAACGTTCTTTGAAAGGAAACTTGTCTACGACACATAGCGGTTATCGTACCTCGTCAGGAGCATGATGAAAGGCAGAGTGAGGGTGAAGAGTTGCATCTCTGTACTGACGTACCAGAGGTGTATCAAACACTGAAGAGGGGGGAGAAAAAAACATTTCAACAAACATTATGTGTCTATAAATTTAACTAGGACTATTGAGTTTGAATTTAGTTTCAAAACTAACCAATTTATATTGAATATTTCCTCAGCAACGCATTACCTTATAGAAGCTAGATGTAACATTTTAGCCTTTCTTACGATTACACTATATACATATCAGTGTGGAGAAAAAAAAATTATCTTTGTTCGTCTTGACGATTCACGACGGTATTTTGAATTCTTGGTTTACGATGCATGGTCACGTTAATAACTGGCACACGAACGTAATTACTCAAACGCGCTTAGAGCCGTGATTACTAAAACAAGCTTGGGTGATACTAATACAGCGAATTTTTCGAAACTCTTGTGATGATCAGACGTTAATGTGCAATAATAATTTTAGCTTTCTTCATTGCAGGATTATTAACATAAAAAGAAAAAACCTAAATATGTAATAATATAAAACATGGCTGTTATTATAAGTAAACTTTAGGGAAAAATGTCCTATTTTTGATAGCATGTGATGCGACCCCGAGCTACCTTCATTTGACGAAAAACAGAATTTGGAGTTAGTATACAAAAAGCTAGTTGTTGCTGGCATTACGAAACATGCTTGTGGTAATTGCATTAATTTATTTTTTTTCTTTCTACATTACTACAAATTCACTTCTTAATGCCAGATAGCCTTCGAGAAAAATAAATTGTATAAAATTGGGCTGCTTTGATGAAAGATGTTGCCAAGCTCCCTTGAATGCCTGATTGTGGTACAATGCAATAACTGATACTTGCGGTTTCATTAAGTGCGTTGAAATTGTTCGTGTGCGTGATCACTGTCCACCAGTTTTCTGCACACCTTCCGATCTGCTTCGAAAACAGCTCTTGGTCGGCGGGCCCTTCGCCCATAGTAGGGAGCAGGAAAGCGAAGAATACGACTATCACAACTGGAACCGTCAGCCTATGATTCAAAGAAACAGATACTATCTATAGTAGAAATATTGCAACCATAAGAGTTATGCAGCACTGCTCGAAAAAGAACAACGTATACCTCCAACTGCTGCTCAAGCTTACCTTACATATCGGCGAACAAGAGTGACCATGTAGGTTCGCAGGCATTTTGTTACAGGAAGCACTTCGTCCTTTACGTTGGCGAGGTACGAAAATGTAAAGCCTCTGCCGAAAAAAAAAACATATGGCACGCAGCAACTGGGATGATTAACTCAGTTAGTTTTGTCATTTTGGGAAATTTGGTGTTTTGTTTCTAAAGCAGCATTGACACAAATGTTGAAAGGTAAGATAACTCGTTGAAAAGGTTTGTGTGGATACATACGCATAATTCATGTAATATCAATGAATAATATAGCCTAAACATATTTAAGATCAATTTCCAAGTGCACGTCATGACAAATCACGCGAAGCGTGCCTCTGGTTTCCTTGTAATCAACTAACCACCGCCTGCGTCATGAGCCTGTTGCGATCTTTGCGAGCGCTCTCTCTTATCAGGCCTTTTTAACGAAAAGAGGGGGCAGGCTTGTGCGAGTACAATCACTGGTGGCCTTGCCTCAACAGTGAATTTTCGGGAGTTCACGCATATTTGTGTCTCGTTTTGATGGCGCAGTGGGTACCCAGAAGCGAGCTTGTAGCATCGCAAAGAGTGTTTAGAAAATGCTCTGATAGGCTGCTGTTCTAGCTTTCACTGTGACTGTGCTGCGCGCTATGCCCGCTCGGAGGCATTACGTTTTGTGTGACATTTAGTCACTACTAAATACAGCACAAACAAGAAAGATATGAACACGATGACGTGGCCACCCATGTCACGATGTTCGTATCTTTCTTGCGCTTGTTGTCTTTGCTAGTGGTGAAACGTCATACAGTAAGCAATACTCACTTCGCCAAGAAAACGTTATCCTCAAGTTAACTGCTGTTCTTCATTTCTCATGGCACTAGCGTATAGCAGTAAAGCAAGCAAAATTTCCTCACGCCCGTATGAAAGAACACAACAGACGAAACACAAAAAACAACTCAATGAAAGATCATAAATCTACCCTGGTATTCTAAACTGTTATAATAACAACAGATCGCAATACGCAGCACTGGACTGCTAGCACACAAGAGAAGATGTCATCACACTGCGGCAACTTCAGTAAAAAATTGAGGCCCACGGCTCTCTACTACGCACAATGTATCCTGTTACAGGGTCAGGAGACCTCAAATTCTGCAATATACTAAACACCCCCTATTATGTTTTCTGAGAACACAACAGTACCCCAAAGAAAACGACCACTCAAACGTCATCAGGAGAGAAGAGGGGGTGTCATCTAGAATAACTTTTTTTGAGGCAAGCTGGTGCTTTAGTTGGTGCCTGAACAGGGCCCGTCTTAGAAGATTAAGTCCTGAGGACCAGTTTCAGCTTGTAAACAGGGCCAGGATGTCAATCCAAGGCTACCTGAAAGAACGTGGTAGCCTACCTCGGCGTATAAAAAGTTCGAGCTACAAATAAGGTTTATTGGATCCCTGCCCAGAGCCTGCATTCAGAAAGGCGAAAATTTCTTTAACAGAATATTTCTTTTATGGACAATTTTAGCCTGTCCTGAAGCTAGACATATTTTTAGTGAGGTAGGTGGGTGAAAAGGCGTGTGAACTCAGCCCCTGTTCACTTCACAAGTGACGACGCTTGGCCCAGTGAAATCACACGAGCTACCACCTCACCACACTTTTTAATGTTTAGTCTTATTCCCTTGCTTTGTTTTTGTTCCATCCATCGCACGGTTAGTAAAAAAGAGTTTTTATTAGTAGATTTAATCAGGGGCAAAATCTTTTTTGTGATAGTTATAATAAATATGAAATAACGTTCTGCATATCACTACAAACTCCGGAAACAATAATGAATGTACCGCAGGCATTAACTTATCCCACTTACTGGATGAAGAAGAGGCTGGAAATTGACAGAAAGGCGTTTGTTATCAACTGAAAATACACTCTGTCTCCCAAGTGAAATATCTTGAAGCCTGAATCTGTAAAAAAAAAGTGTTTTTTAATTACCCGAAGTCCCGCTAATTTTTAGAGCTGGCAATATAAATAGTTCATTAGTGCAGCCCGTCGAACTCTATTGTGCAGCAGCACAACTTTTGCCACCGGCCATCACCGCAATCAGTAAGAATGCTATGTTATGCAATGGAAAGTGTTTCTACTTTATTAAGGGTTGTGCAATGACGGGTAATGCCCTTTTCTCGTCTGATTTTTACATCTTTGTGGCACTTGTTAAAAGGATTAGACGCCCTGGAATACTTTTACGTAGCAATAACATTGAAAAATTGCTCCATAGTTTCAGAGGTTCAAAAACCGAACTAATAACGTTATGTAATGTACTAACATTGCAAACTGTTCACGGTGTATTTAACAGCCACTGTATTGCTTTATGAAGTTGGTTTTCCCTTCATGGCCCTCTTCTCAAGCGATTCTCATCCTCTTTCATCATCCCAGAATACTGGAGTTGGTCGTAACCTTCCCCAATGCCACAGCCTGACAAACAAAAAATTGATAAGATAAGAATATGTAGCTGGCCTAATACGTCACCTAGCACGTAATACATGAGGTGCTATAGGTTTATTTCATGATGCGCAGCAGCTCTTTGACTACCCTATGAAACGCTGTCCCGTGTGTCCACACAAAGGCGCCGCAGCGCGTTCCCCCCCCCGCCGCAGTTGTTGGAACGATGCCAAGTAACTCAGGTCACAAGTGCGCGTGACCTGACCCTCACCCGCATTAGCTGCTGGATCCTCCGCCCGCTCGTCACGCACTTCTCTCTCGCTTCACCCTCTCCACCACCCGCAACGCTCGACAGCACGTCGAGTGGCAACACTCTTTCGGTTCATTTATCTGCTATGAAACTTACACGAAAGTGAACCCGCCTCCCGTGTCTTACCCCCGTATTCACAAACGCTCTTCCACTCGACTTCCTCCCTTCACTTGACAGAGTTGAACACTGCGCCACCGCACGGCTGAAAATGACGCTGCGCTACTCAAGAATCGCAGCAGATTATTGCTGATATGCAGTGACTTTCCGTGCCTAGAGACGGCGCTCCCATCGGCTTTCTCAAGTGAAGGTGAAGCGTTGAGTGACGGGACGTTCTAGAATACGGGGGTAACTTAGTGTCTCAGAGAAACGTTAAGTCGAGTAAAGGCTACACCGAGTTTCGCTTCAAACCCTAGTTCTGCACCTTGGTCGATACCCTTTTCAGCCCGGCAAACGGCGTGCGCACCGCTGCTGCTTCGAATCCCATCAGGGTTCCATTCGGGGAGATTGTCCTTTTTTTTTATTTCCAGGTTCTACACACCAAAGATAGGAGCAAAACATCATCACGTGATATAACTGTGAATAAACATTTTTCAAGGAACCCTAACGCGAAGCATTAAAGATATTTGTAAACTTATGAATTGTTCTTTAGGAACTGTATCGTCAATAATATCAAAATCAAGTGTTCATTATTAGACAAGCGAATGATGGTAAACGCTTCAGTTCTGAATTTCGCTCTAAATATTCCGTTCTTCAAAGTTTTTTTTTTTTTGGTAGGCCGCATTAGTTCAATATTATTGCCTGAAACTTGATACGTGAGCTTTCTAACTCTCTCACAAAGGAATGTCATCACTTTTTACCGGTAAAGTGTTTTCTAGTTCTGAGCTGATTTAAAATTAAAAATATGTGGCATCGCTAGGAGTTATTGCGGAAACGTCAATGTGGTATAGAAACCTTTATTTTCCTTCGTATGTTTCTTCCAGCCACGTCTTCCAGCCGCAATAGATTTCGTATTGCAGAATATAGTGTGTTAACACAACTGACCTAGTATTTTTTTCTCTTTTGCATCTCTGTAAACACTCTTCCAGGCGTCATTCACTACGTGTAAAGAAGTAATAATATTTCAAGCGTTGTTTAATTTTGTCAATATGCCATATACGGTGTTAATTTGAACATGTTGGTTGAGCTTCAGTGTAATGAATACGCAGCGCGAACAACGAGAACTGAGAAAACAGCAATGCGGGTGCTTTCTCAAGGCAAGATGCTGAAGCAACCTAAAAACCATAGCCTGGGTGAAAATGTTTCTCGCATAAAGAAGCAACAGGCAGCACTTCGGCCCAGCGTTCAAACTTGAGCATGTTCCTATTTTTTTTCTTTTCGTTTATTTCTTTCTTGAACCGGTGCAGCTCGCAGGCACTATAGCCATCCCGCACGTGAGATTTGCTCTGCGTATGTCCCCCAAAAGAAAGCCTGTGCATGTGTACTTAAGTGTCTTTCTTCTGTTACGAATTTGCTGTGTCGCGATGGTAGCGGTGGCGAAGAGCGGCGAGCCGTCGAGCGGACTTCGCTGAAGCCTTTGCCCGAATGCGAAGCAGGGAGGCAATCCGTTTTGAAAAGAGCAATAAGAAGGAGCGTTTACTGTAGCAGGTTGTCGTTTGTACAGAGCCGGCCAGCACGACAACGTCGGCTGGGGCAAATCTTCCAAACATGGGGCCGGCAGGGCCTTAAATAGCGTTTTTGGACTCTTCTGCGAGACCAGTTCCCTGGAACGGCACAGTGGCTCGGCTGAAGAGACGCAGCCATACCCGGAACTGCAAGGTGGTTCGGCGGAGGAAGCGACGTTATCCCCGGAACTGCATGGTTCTCCTGCACGGAAGGCGGCGCTGGGAGGGGGGAGACAGTTCGTCGGAACAGCGCTCGATCTCGTGAGACGTGCTCCCGAACGAGGAAAATGTCTGTGGCATAACAGCACCCCCGCCGCCAGACAATACATCTGGAGTTTTGAGCCATCAGCGCGGCTCGGAAGGAGGGATGCTGGTTCAATGTCGGTAGCCGTTCCGCTCTCTTTGCCCGTTGAGACTGTCATAGGCCTGCGGAGTTTCACTGGAACGACGGAGTCGAACACAAAGCCAAACCACTCTGGCCAAAGCAAGCACCCTCCAAATGCTGATCAAATTGCCAGACCAGCAGAAACCAAACGTTTCCTCGAGATTACGCTGGGCCAACAAATAGCATCACGAGCAACGAATCTCGGGAGGAATACACAATGCCGACACTCCTTTACAGTGCAGGACACTGCTAAACCAAATAAAACTTTGTTTTCGTGAGCGATTCTCGATTGTGACCCGGGCAGATTGGGGACGATCAAAGCTGCTGAGGTTGACTCAATTCGGCCCTGAATCTACAGTTTAGATTACCAAGAACTACCGAATCACGCACATTTGCGTCGCCTGCAAGCATAAGATTGTCAACTTAACAAATTTCGTCCTCCTACAAGTTCTCTCTTCAATGCGCGCAGCCAATGAGGATCAAAACAAGATAAAACATGCTTGAAAAGTAAGAAACTATGAATGAAACTCAAACTCACGTGCGTTATACAAAACAAAGTTAAAAGATGACCTACACTGACGCGCATAATACACCTAATGCCAAACGCAGATGTTACTTCAAACAAGGGCTTTTACTCAGCCTTCTTTGTTAAAATAAAACACGCAAACTGTTACTTTTTGAAATATTATGAAAACAAATTTAATCGAACAAACATATCAATGCCTGCTTCTCCAATGAGAAGGAAAAAAAACTTACAAAAGTTTAGATGCATTCATTGCTCAATGGCAGACGACACAATAGAAAAATAATTCTCAAAGCTAAGCACAGAATACACTCTTCGTATTGGCAAGGCAGCACTCTCTCAGACGAACTCTGGGGAGTCGCGCATTCCACAGCTTTCGAGGGTTGTGGTTGTGTGGACGATGAACCAACCTGTTCGCCGAACTCAGTAGCAGCGACTTTTGACCCACAGCCGCTGAACTCGAAGAAAGGGGCATCTGCACTGGATCGTTTACGCCACCTGTTCGAACAGTGACCCTTTCGCCACGGTGGGGAACAGCCGCTTGTGTTACTGCCCAAGCGCTCGCAACGTTTCCCCACTTGCTTGCATCTACGCGGCAGAGAAAAGGATGAGTCCAGGCGGTGATTTCGGCTTCAGAATTTTGCTGAAGTTCCTTTCTTTGCGACGCGCTTTGCGTTTGACCTAGATCTTAGCAGTGGCCTGAACTTCAACCTTCTTTTATTGAGCTTTGTCCCGACTTCAGCCCTGACATTGAGTATGGCATCTTGAGAGCCATGGCGTTCAGCCACTTTCCCGCGCTTGGCGTTATTCGACTTCGCCTTATATTTGCAACGGTGACTCTTCCCAACGGAACTTATCACCGTGCTCATAGCACTGGCATTCATACTATAAAGTACGCTGCCTTCACTTTGTGGAGACAAAGCTCCATATTGGTTACCTAGCTTTTCCTCGGGCCCGATGCTAGCTGTCTCTGCCTGTGACAGAACGGGAGTCCCGATGCTTTTAAAGTTAAACATCTCGCCCGAAAGTTTCTCTTCAGTTTGTAAGGGCCTCTCCCTTTCAAAGATAGCCCTTGTTCCCAGGCCTTCGTAGTCAGCCTCGTGCTCACTTTGACGCAATTCATCCTGATCACGTGCTCGCCCAAGCGGCCCCATCTCCAGCGCTTTACGGTGCATCTCCGCGTCCTTAGCTATGCGATGGGCCTCGGCTCCTAACTCCTTGAGATGCACCTCAGCGTCTGGCTCTCTCCGACGCACTTCGGTGCCTTGCACCTTGTGACGGGCCTCAACGTCAAATGCCTCGCGATTTTCCTCCTCCTCAAGCGCTGCGCGACGGGCTCTCATCACTTTACTGCGCGCGTCGTCTTCCAGCGCTCCACGACGTGCCTCGTCCTCTCGCTCTTTTCGGCGGGCGTCTACCTTTAGCGCCTTACCACATGCTTCAGCGCTGTTACTATCGCTCTGACTTCCAGCAGGACTTGAAATGAAAAAAAATATTTAATCAAAGCATATCTAGCATGACTGAAGTCTCCTGCTTCCTCGAAGGGTAAGCAATTCAAAACATGCACGATCTTGCGCGGCAACAGCGTGGCGAGCTTCTCCACCCAAAGGTCGCGGATAACACCCACATTACAGCATACAACTTCAAAATCATCAAGAAAATGCGCAATGTTCTCGCCTGTCTGAAAGTTGTGGAGCTGGTGTTTAGCTCGCTCCCATTTGAGTGCTTGAATTTTAAGATCAAGCTCTTTTCATTCTGAGAGCATGCTCTCTCCTTTTTCGACACTCCTCGGTCTTCCAATGTTCGTGCCTTTGGGCTTCGAGCTCTTCGCGGCTTTGCTCGGCCTTCTGCTTTTGCTCACAAATGCGCTCCCAAAACTCGTCAGCCTCATCGGCAATCACATTTTCTGCCCGCATTACCTCGAGAATCGCTTCCTTCGTTTTAGCGGACCCGGCAGAAATCCCCATGGCTCCACAAATTTCGAGGAGGTCCTCCACAAGGTATTGCTCCATCGCGATCTCGTCCCTCATGATGCTCTGCTACTGATATTCACCGTACTCTAAAACTAATCTCATGGTTTAAAGCACGTGGTTAATAAATTATAACCAACAAAACAAAACAAAACACTCTCCTATCATCTGCCTGTGCTAGAGTGGTCTGGCAAAATGAACAGTAAACGTTGGGCACTCACCCAACCAAAGTAGCCGACGATGGTCCAACTGGTGGCTGCCTTCGAACAGTGCCGTGGGTGTCGTCAGGCCTGCAGGGATCTGGTCCAACTTGCCAACGTTGAGGTCCGGGGTAGCTTGTCTCAGCTTGCCGAACGATGAGAACAGTGGTAGCGTATCCCAGCGTATTCAAACGCTAATATCACGTCGGTCGTGCTCGAGCTTCCAGGGGTCCGATCCAGCGTGCCGAACGTAGGGTTGCGTATCACAGCGTAGCCAAACGCTATCACGGCGGTCGCCCTCGTGCTCAGAGATCCGATCAGACTTGCCAAACGTAGGATATCGGGGTAGCGGGTCCCAGAGCAGCAAAACGTTGGGGTCAGGGGAAGCGTATCCCGAAGCTGCCAACCACTGTTACGAATTTGCTGTGTCGCGATGGTAGCGGTGGCGAAGAGCGGCGAGCCGTCGAGCGGACTTCGCTGAAGCCTTTGCCCGAAGGCGAAGCAGGGAGGCAATCCGTTTTGAAAACAGCAACAAGAAGGAGCGTTCACTGTAGCAGGTTGTTGTTTGTACAGAGCCGGCCAGCACGACAACGTCGGCTGGGGCGAATCCGCCAAACATGGGGCCGGCACGGCCTTAAATAGCGTTTTTGGACTCTTCTGCGAGACCAGTTCCCTGGAACGGCACAGTGGCTCGGCTGAGGAGACGCAGCCATACCCGGAACTGCAAGGTGGTTCGGCGGAGGAAGCGACGTTATCCCCGGAACTGCATGGTTCTCCTGCATGGAAGGCGACGCTGGGAGGGGGGAGACAGTTCGTCGGAACAGCGCTCGATCTCGTGAGACGTGCTCCCGAACGAGGAAAATGTCTGTGGCGTAACGCTTCACAGGTGTCTTCACCTTTCGCGTCCCCCTCCTTTTTCTAAATTCGTCCATCGGGGTCGGAAATCGAAATCACCTGCTTGAGCATGACAGTTCCAAACCGTAGCCGCTAAGTAACTATCAGGATCTGCTATCAATGTTTCAGTGGCAAAAGTGGGACATTTTATTTATATATAGTGCTGTGCCAGAAGTTAAGGGGTTTCCATATTGCCACTCCTCTCCCGTATAATAACTTACATAAATTGATTTATTTGATGTGTGGGGTTTGACATCCCAAAACCACCATATGATTACGAGAGACGCCATATTGGAGGGCTCCGGAAATTTTGACCACCTGGGGTTTTTTAACGTGCACCCAAATTTGAGCACACGGGCCTATGGCATTTTCGCTTTCATCGAAAATTCAGCCGCCGCAGCCGGGAGTCGATCTCGCAACCTGCGGGTCAGCAGGTGAGTACCATAGCCACTAGGCTGCTGCGGTGGGGCAACGTACAGAAATACAACTCACACAAAGCTCAGGCATTGCAAAACGGGTTAAGATCTACGCCATTTGACTTGTTTAGGTTTTCGGTGCTTCGTGTGTTCGTATAGTTTAGTGCTCCAAGAACCATGTTTACTAAATGAAGAATCATGTGCTGCCATTTCGTTTACGTTATAGTGGTGGCTAGAATCTGTAGAGTGTTGGTTCCGAATTACCAGCCATCGTTGCAGAAAGAAGCGTGGTCCATAAACCATCAAGCAACCAGTCTTATATGCTACGAAGGATGATTTATTGACACATTCAATATATATACGGTGTTTCGAAGTAAGGCAACCTCGTTAACTACATGTACGATATCTTTAATGTGCTGCTACTTAGTCTAATCCTCGAACTGTGGAATAATGAGTTCGTCAATGCTGCCGTGAAATAGTGCTCTGAGGCACTCAATCGTGACGCAATTCTAGAACATGAGGAAATTGGAAAACTAACAGATTGACGCCTGCGTATTCTAGTTCTAGAAATCTTTCTTTCACACTCTCAATCTTTTATATTTCATTGAATGTATTCGCAGTGCTTCATCTTACAAGCCAGGTGGTGTCACAGTAGCACTGACAATGACCGTATACGAATTCAACTTTCACTCGCCTTGAAAACTTCGATTTATTTTGCTTGTATGCCCACTGTGACCTCGAATGGCGTGTCGTCATGCGGAACTCTGTAGGCTGCCAGGTTCGAATTCGACGTAATTAATATTGACGCAAATGCATAAACTGTGACATGTTATTCAATGTTGGTGACCTCAAGGGTCTACGAATAGCCAAACTAACGAAATGTGCTTTGTTGAGAAGATTATCAGTCACGAGAAACTATATGTGAAGAACGTAATGGATCCCAGTACCAAACATGAAAAAAAGGGTGAGGTAACTGCGGCCGTTGAGTAGTTCTGCTTTACGAACCATAAGAACCACTACATATACATATATTTACCTGCATGCTACATCGGTCGATCTTGAAAAACCCTTGTATAACTGAACAGAACGGAAACTGTTCTCTTGTATTTGCGCTTTATCACATATTGACGTTTGTACGAACTTTCACTTAGACATTTCATGTAGGTAGAAATAAAAAAAGAGAGAACACAGTTTAAAATGCGAGCGTACATTTGTATGCAGGAAGAACAAACTGCATATCCTTAATAACATTGATGTGTTGTCGCTGTTCAAGCATTAGTCAGTGAATATTAAATTATAGATTTGAATCGAGGTGCTGAATTTTTCGTCAGTGACCGTGGCTGACACATTACCTCTAATCATTCACACACTGCTGTCGATAGCAAAATTTTTCTATTGTTTGGACCACTACCGCAGCAGTGGGAGCCGCTCGAAAAACGAACAGGTATTGGGGCATCTGAGACGAGCACGGCAACTCCCCTGGGCCCAGATTGATGTCAAGGTAAGAGCAAAAAAAACTGCTTACGATAAAACTCTGGTTGAATCAGCGTGTAAGAGTGAAAGAAGACTACCCAGAAGCACAGGATCAGTTTGGCTCCACTGAAGAAGAGTAAATTTTGGCGCGGTGTTCCTTCATATTTGCGGACGTCGAAGAGGCGTTGAGTATTGGAAATGACAGAGAACCAACACAAAACCGTGACGGGGGCAGTTGCTGAAAAAGAAAAAAAATCTTCTGAACCGATGTCTTGTGTTTTTAAGCACAGATCGCATGAGCAACTAGCTGAACAGTGATGTGGTGAAGAAAATTCTAGACACACAATAGGATTAGGTTTGTCATAGATGATTACATAGGGGAAAGGGGTTGCCTTAGCAATATATTCCTATGTTTTCATCACATGCTGGCAGGTTCACATTAAATTCTTGTGCATCAAAATAAATCACTAGCAAATAGCTCTATTGCAATTATATAGCCCCGATTCCTATTATCCGACAAGTTAAAGACCATATAATTACGAGGCACGTGCACCTTTGTGGGAAACTAGGTAGCAATAAGGTTTGAACGCTTACGGGCTCCTTCAATGCATAGCAAAATTTAGAGTTATTCAATCATAGTAGTTAAACTCCCCATAGGCTCCATATATCGAAACCCGGAAACACCAGTGGCCGACATCGTGGAGGTCTGTTGATTATCGTGTCATTTGTTGACCAAAGAACTAGACTAATGAACGTTTGCGACGATGCCAGTGCTACGTGCGGCGCTGAGAAGCTTGCAAGAAGCGTATGCAGAACCACGCCGTGGCTATCCAGTGTTTTGTATCAGCGCTATCCGATGGCGCGACAATCTCCAGGCTCTCGTCAAATCGGCCACGCGCATGTCCAGCTTTCGGAACATTGTTTCACAATTGGTATGATTAAAGAACTCCGACTAAACATAGGTACTAAGCATTTCTGTGTTCGTGCGAAAATAAACCAATTACTGCAAACTCAGCAGGGCAATGCCTTTGTTCCTAGAGTACGTTTGAATCTTGTGATGCTAGCGAGTCACAACTCAGAACGGTAGACATTTCTCCTTAGTGGTGTATTGGTAAACCTAGTGGCACTTCTTGTGGAAGTTATCTGTCGCAGTGCAAGAAATGACCGAGAGAAGCGTTAATGCTAAGGCTGGAGGTAATTGTTGTTGTTTGCGTCGTCGTCAGTGGCGTTTCCTTCTTTTTTCTTCATTCGAACTTTCAAGCATCACTTCACATGCATGAGTGGCTACCAGGTAGCTCAAAGTTGCAAGTACTATAGTAATTAACTTTTTTTATTAATTCTGCTTACCGCATAACTGAAAAAGTAGGTTCTTGGAGTTTCTTCTCTTGATTGTGTGAACAATTTCTACAACAGCGGTGTAATAAACAGAAAACTCTTAGAATTCTTTTTGTGTCTGACTGCTGGGTACTTACCAGTTTGTTCATTTGGTTTTGTAGTACCTGACGGCTTCAAATACCATTCTGCGATTGTTCCAGCGCATAAAAGTAGTGCTAGACAGCATAACAGTGCACTGAAAAAGGTGAATGAGGTATATTGTAGTTAATAAATGCAGAACATCCCACAATATTCAGCGAGGCAATTGATGAACTTACATGGAACATGTCTGGAGTAGCGTTAATGATTTCGGATCATCTGTTCTGCACCCTCGAACTGTGGCATTCACTCCGTATGACATCATGACTGCATTGAACGAAAAACGATATAGCGACGATTATGATCTCATCACTGTATTCTGCATACACCGAGTATGCTGGTGCGTAGGAACACACACGTTCGTTACCGAAAAGCAATAAATAGATGCAGTCCAATGTTTTGTTTTCGACATGGTATATACTGCTCGGTGGTCATCGCACCAAGGTGCCGTGAGGACATCTTCCTATTTTATTTTTACTATTGTCGAGTACATGTATCTATGGTCATAAGATGCTCCATTTGATATTTAACTGGGTGTTCTAATTCATCTTGACTATACAACATTGGGCTCCGTCCCATCGATAATTCTTGTTGCCGGATTCACCATCAGTCGGCTATAGCACAGCCAAGAATACAGAGATGATGCGATTCCCACTTTTCTCTGATATGTGAAATAGTTATTCGTGCACCTGTTTTATACTAACATATTTAATTATTCATTTTCCACTGAATTCACCATGCAAGGAGCGCTGCGTCATTCAGCATGTCTGTTGCAAAGATGCCCTCGCCCTTTAGCAATGACTCTACTGAAGATCACACTGAATTTTTTGTGTGTTAACCATGTCTTTATATCTATTGTACACTATACCGATAACAATTCAACTTAAATCCTCACGTCTGCGTTTCAGTGTCCCTTCGTTCGTTAATTAAGACTTGCAGAGATTGAAAACAGGACGCTTAAGGTAACATTTCCTCCAATCAGAGTTTTTGGTTCACGGCGCGATTAGCCTGCAATTTTTTGTAGTGGTCTTCGTGCTCGTTACGATGACGATGCGTTCTTAATAATTTCTTCGTGGCTGAAGAAATTATGGCTGTTTCATGAGGCCCCAGCCGCGGCATTTGCATTCATGGTGGTAGCAATTATGGTTATATTAATGGTTATATATATTAATGGTTATATATATATATATATATATATATGTATATTGAATGAACTTGCAGATAGCACATTTGAAAAGGAAATTGTATTTACTAACGTTTCGGCCGTGGCACGGCCTTCGTCAGAGTAAGTAGGTATGATACAATGCAGCCGCTTTTATAGGCTCACGTGATGAACTCTCGGTACAGCAGCTAGGACAATCAAAGTAAAAAAATGGTAATCTGTCAGAACCTTGTGTTGACATGACTGACATGCGACGGGTGCATGAATACACAAGTTTCGAATTTCCTTGCGCATCAACACGTGGGGCACAGTATGGTTGGCAGGACATGTAAAAGAGCTCTGAAGTAAAGAAACCACGGTTGACTAATATACATTTTAATATACACTAAAATATTTTACTAATCTAAGAAATCGTGTTGTTATAGTGTGAGTCAAGTGAGCTTTCTTACGTTTTCATTGATAGCTGAACGAATGGCGTTAAATTTGTGAATCAAGAAGGATTCCCTCACTTCCCTATCGTGATTTGTCTTGAAACCGGACTGAATAATAGTGGCCCTAATTTTGTCGAAACCATGGCCAGGCATACTGACGTGCTTCGACAGCGGTAGATTAGAAAGGCTTACGGCATGTGCACGGTGATTATTAAAACGAATTCTGAAACTTGTCTCTGTTTGACCTATGTACTGAGCTCTGCATGTTGAACACTCGAGAAGATAGATGACGTTGATACTATCACACGTGTTTTTCCCATTTATATTTAAAGAAAAACTGGACGATGTACTTAAAACTGTTTTAGAAGTCGTCATGTGCGCGCACAATTTGAAACGTGGTTTGTTGCAGGGATGACAGCCTTCATGATGTGAACACGTGGTTTTAGATGAGGTTAGTAAATCACGAAGGTTCCGCGATCGTCGGTAGACCACGCGTGGTTGTTCTGTAAAGATTCCTTTGAGCCGCTCGCTCTGTATTAAAATGTTGAAATGTTTCTTTAAGATATGGTTCACATTTGGAGCAGAGGCCGCATGTGTCAAAATTAGATTAGTCCGCGAACAATCTTTGGGTCTTTTGTTAGTACTCAGCAGGTCTGAACGGTCGAGCTCTTCTGCATGTTTTATGGCGTCTGTGATTATGCTGGCCGGATAGCTCTGTTTTTCGAGCGCGCTCCGAAAATATTCGCAGTGGCGGGAAAATTCGCTGCTATCAGAGCATATTCTTTTAAAACGGACTGCTTGGCTGTAGGGATTACTAGTTTTATTGTGTTTCACGTGACTACTACTAAAGTGAAGATATTGCTGCCTATCCGTGGGTTTCCTGTAAAGATTAGTTATCAGCTTCCCGTTACGTAGAGTGACCATGACATCAAGGAAGCTTATGTTCACAGGTGAATACGAGTGCGAAAAAGAAATCGCCGGATGAGCGTTGTTAAGATCTGCTATGAAAGAAAGAAGTTGCGATTCACTATGGTGCCATATTAGGGAAATGTCGTCGATGAACCGCTTATAGTAAAATGGCTTATATTCACAATTTGCAAGAAATTTGTTTTCAAGGAGCCCCATAAATATGTCTGCGTAGTTTGGTCCAATTCTTGTGCCCATAGATTTACCGCTAACTTGAACATAATGTGTCCCATAAAATTCGAAATTGTTAAGTTCAAGAATGAATGAGCCCCGCCGCGGTGGTCTAGTGGCTAAGGTACTCGGCTGCTGACCCGCAGGGCGCGGGTTCGAATCCCGGCTGCGGCGGCTGCATTTCCGATGGAGGCGGAAATGTTGTAGGCCCGTGTGCTCAGATTTGGGTGCACGTTAAAGAACCCCAGGTGGTCTAAATTTCCGGAGCCCTCCACTACGGCGTCTCTCATAATCATATAGTGGTTTTGGGACGTTAAACCCCACATATCAATCATAAGTTCAAGAATGAGCTTAAGCAACGTAGCTAACGTAGATGCGCAAACTGGTTTGTCGGCGTCGCAATCGTTGTACGCGCAGATAACTGCCTCGATGCCATCTGAGTGAGGGATATTAGTGTATAGTGACGTGACATCTAACGCAACGAGAAACGAATTTTGAAAACCTGTAGGTCAACAATATCTGATAGAAAGTGATTGGTATCTTTAATGTAAGAAGAAAAGCTGGACGGAATGGTGTTGATGAGGCTATCTACATAACGGGAAAGGTTCTCAGTCACTGTTCCAATTCCAGAAATTATCGGTCTACCGGGATTATCTCTCTTATGAATTTCGGGAAGAAGGTAAAATCTGCCAGCTACTGGGCTCAACGGTATTAGGGATTTCAGAGTCCCATAGCTCATTTCTTTATCATTAAAGAGCACAGTCAAACTATCACGAACAATATCTTTGAACTCGTTTGTTGGGTCATGATCTTGCCGCTTGTAATATGATGCATCACTGAGCTGCCTATAGCCTTCGCTGATATATTTGCTTTTGTCCATTACAACAATGGCGTCTCCTTTATCTGCAGGTTTTATAATTATGTCATTACGACTAGCGAGGGATTCAATTGCTTGTTGCTCTCTGTCAGTAAGGTTGTGGTGCAATGGTGTACGTTCTTTATATTCGTTTTATTAATCACCGTGCACAAGCCGTAAGCCTCCCTAATCTACCGCTGTCGAAGCAGGTCAGTATGCCTGGGCATGGTTTCGACAAAATTAGGGCCACTATTATTCAGTCCGGTTTCAAGACAAATCACGATAGGGAAGAGAGGGAATCCTTCTTGATCCACAAATTTACCACCATTCGTTCAGGTATCAATGAAAACGTAGGAAAGCTCACCTGCCTCACACTATAACAACACGACTTGATTGATTGATTGATTGATTGATATGTGGGGTTTAACGTCCCAAAACCACTATATGATTATGAGAGACGCCGTAGTGGAGGGCTCCGGAAATTTAGACCACCTGGGGTTCTTTAACGTGCACCCAAATCTGAGCACACGGGCCTACAACATTTCCACCTCCATCAGAAATGCAGCCGCCGCAGCCGAGATTCGAACCCGCGCCCTGCGGGTCAGCAGCCAAGTACCTTAGCCACTAGACAACAACACGACTTCTTAGATTAGTAAAATATTTTAGTGTATATTAAAATGTATATTAGTCAACCGTGGTTTCTTTACTTCAGAGCTCTTTTACATGTCCTGCCGACCATACTGCGCCCCACGCGTCGATGCGCAAGGAAATTTGAAACTTGTGTATTCATGCACCCGTCGCATGTCAGTCATGTCAACACAAGGTTCTGACTGATTACCATTTTTTTACTTTGATTGTCTTACTAGCTGCTGTACCGAGAGTTCATCACGTGAGCCTATAAAAGCGGCTGCATTGTATCATACCTACTTACTCTGACGAAGGCCGTGCCACGGCCGAAACGTTAGTAAATACCATTTCCTTATATATATATATATATATATATATATATATATATATATATATATATATATATATATATATATATATATATATATATACCAGTAGATCCTCCGTGAGCGGTCACAACGTGGTTTATTTCGACGTTTCGGCCTAGAGTGTGGCCTTCATCAGGTGAATCCTGTGAAAGCCAGACTCTAGGCCGAAACGTCGAAATAAACCACGTTGTGACCGCTCACGGAGGATCTACTGGACTATATGCAAACGCTACGGCCACTCAACCACTATGCCTGCCTATATATATATATATATATATATATATATATATATATATATATATATATGTGTGTGTGTGTGTGTGTGTGTGTGTGTGTGTGTGTGTGTGTGTGTGTGTGTGTGTGTGTGTGTGTGTGTGTGTGGTGTTGTGATGTTATGGTGAAGGCAACCTTTATTAGGCCCAGAAGACACGATGGAGTAACCACACCCAAGGCACAGAACTCAGGGGCAAGCCAAGTTTCACAGCAGACGAAGATGACGACCACTCATGATGATGAACATGTGTAAAGATAGTAGATGGGCTTAATAAATGCCTACACTAACTTACCCCCCACGTGAAAGTAGTCATCCTGACCGCAGTTCTTGCCGCAGTTTAAAGCGAACAGGAACGCCATATGAAAGGCTTCATGCGGGATACGTGGACTATTTCTGCTGCCCTGCAGAAGAA